ATGATTTTTTAAATGTTGCAGTGTAAGCCCAAATCATTTGCAAGAGAAGGGTACAACTTCTTGTGCAGAGTTGGAAGATTAATGATAAAATCATTTTTTGAGGTAGAGTTATTCTAGGAAAGTGTGAATTTTGATTTCAGGAACATGCACAAGGGACATAGTAATAAGAAGTACAAGTCAGAAAGCTTGGTTGAAATAAATAAGAACAGAGTCAAGACTCCAAGGACACAGAGATCTGTTCTGTGAGCCCTGCTGGGGGTGAGAGAGTGGGGTGAGACGTGGAGAGGGCTGAGCATCGCGTCATCGGTGATTGCACAGCAGACTAAACAAGCTCCGGGCGGCACTGGGCACGGGGTTCCCAGGCATCGGGGGCAATGCTGGGCTACACTCAGACCTTGACAGTTGATGTTTATGATGAAAGTGATACAGTGCTTTTAAGTCCAAATAAAACTTTGGTTTTAAAATGATTCAAAAATTCAGGAAAAGGCAAAGACTGCATTAACTAAATATTTTACAATCATAATCGAGCCTGTTCTCTTTGTCACAAACCTGTTTTTCCATCACTCTCTCCCTCCCCTCCCCTCCCTTCCCTTCCCCTCGTCTCTCCTTCCCCCTCTCCTTCCCTCCAGTCCTCTTTTCTTTTCCTTTTTCAGTGCTGAGGATTGAACCCAGGTCCTTATTACAGCGCAACATTCTCACCTCTCTCTTTTTTAATTTTGCATTTTGAGACAGGGTCTAGCTAAGTTACTAAGTTGCCCAAGCCAGGCTTGAATTTGTGCCTCAGGCTCCCACAGTGCTGGACAAACTTGTTCTTTGTGACAAAATACCTTAAGTTTGTTGTTCACAGGAGGGAAATCAAGTGTAGATTTTGACTGTAGGTGTTGCTTTCAGCTCAGTCGCTTGCTTTCCATATGCCGGCCTTTGAAGACTGTCTGTGGTCTTCCCTCTGTAGGTATTGTTGGGAAAACGGAAGAGAGGGGGGTGGGGAAAGTATCTGACAACCGCCTTAAAAACTCAGGTTAGTAAATTTGTTAAATGAAAACTCAGGTAGTAAATTTAGTTGCATTTCCTGAGTACAAAGCAGAGGCAAATATATTCATTTTTATATCTTTAGAATGTTATTTGGTGAATCATGGAACCCAAACACAAATGGAGAATTCCATATACAATGTAATAAGTTTAACATACTTTCATGGTGATTTCATTCCAGTCCTTCATGCACTGAAGCCCAGAGAAGGCAAATGACTTGCCCAAGGTTACATTTTACCTCACAGATTAAAACAGTTCATTCACCTCACAGTTTAGGTATTATTTTATTCCTTGGGAAGGTGACACATAGTTGTATTTTGCACAGTCAGTTTATAGTCTGGTTGGGAAGATAGCCAATCACCTCGTTGGCTCAAACAGATAATAACACTGATGAAGTGACCGAGCAAAGGCTGATTCTCTTCACAGTTGGTGGGAAATTCCAATATTGAGTGAGCAGAGAAAAGTATAAAATGATGCATGCAAGGGTCAGCAGGAAGCTTTGCAGCTAAGGGCTATGGACCCGGTCTAGGGACCTGCTGGCTGTTCATTGCTCCGGGCACATGTGTCCCTTGGCAGCCTGGCTATTCTCTTCCCTGCATATCTGCAAGAGAAAGGAATTATGCCAGTCAAAAATGTGAATAGCCATACTTTTAAAACTGCATTGGAAGTAGTGTGTGAAAGGAGAGAAGGTTAAAAACTGCATTAGGAGGCTAACTTGGACTTTGCAGTGGTCCTTGTAATGTGAATATGGAAATTTCTTGTATAGGCTGAAATTGTAGTGTGTGAATAGAATTCACTTACGTAGCAGGAAAATCCTGAACCAAGATTATACCTTTCCACTTGGTTTAGCCAGTCTTTGGGATTTTAATATGCTTCAGCTTCTTTGTCCTTATTTTAAGTTTAATAATGCCCACCCTATTTAAAAAAGTTTCCAGAGATATAGTAAGGGTCAAGTTTTATTTTATGTGAGGAGGGGTAGTGTTGGACCTTTGCAGTTTCATATTTTGCCTCATTATGATAGCATTCTGCTTTTAGTTGACCGCATTATGATTGTATTCATATTTTAAGTAATATATAGAGATTACTTTGGATTATAGATTTGGATTATAGATTATATATGGAGATATATATATATATAGATTACTTTAAAATAAGTAATCTATATATATATCTCCAGCAGTTAACATGTATTTTGATCACAAATGAAGCCAGATGATTAAATTTACTCCCCGGTGATTCGGTTTTCTGAAGCAGTGTGGTTTAATTTACCCCGTCTTTTTTTCAGCGTAGGGCTTTATATGATGATCATACTCTCTAGGGGCAAAAAATGTGGATAAAGGTGCCTGGCCCTGAGAAATACACAGTTGCTGCGCTGGCGTTTTGTCAAAGCTGAAATGGAGTAATAAAATCAGAAATCACAGAATGGTTTCTAATTTCAAAGACAGACTGCCTGACCTTGCCTATGGAGTTCAGGTAGAAACCAAGAAGGAATACAGAGAAGGAAATTGAGTTCCTGTCCAGGTGCCACACACCACAGCAGCATCTAGTAAAATATCTGGAATTGTAGCATGGCCAGTCACCTTAGGACCCAGCGAGTTCTCATTAGAAATGCTTTTCTCCTGTTTTTATTTTTGTTGGAAAATGTTCTGATTAAATGTTAATGCCTCCCCCAGTGTGCGCACTCCCCGCCCCCCCCATGTAAACATTACTCCCACCGCACTATTCACTTTTGGTTCTCCATCTTCCTGAACTAGAGCCTACAATTTAGTTTAAGGTAAAATAATTCTCTCTCATATTCGTTTCTTTGCTTTGTTCTCTGAATGAGTTTTCTCTTGAAGCCATGAAGGGACCCAGACTCCCAGGCCCATCAGTATATTGACCTCTGCTACATTTTATCCCCAGAGGATGGAAATGTACATGGATTAAGGGCTTCAGGGTGCCTAGCACCATTACATTTGTCAGCAGTAACCTCCTGCCTCATTCAGTGGTTGATTTTTCATTCTCCACGTGGTATTTCCTGTACACTGGCCAGACCCTTTGTTAGCAAGGAGGTAGTGCTATAGTGGCTTAGGTGATGGCTTCAGTCTACCAGTGTCTGCTAGATGGAAGTTCTGAGACTTTTTCCTTTGAAGTTGTGTAATAAGCTGGCTCCATTCAGTGGCTAGGAAGAGGCCTGGAGGGTGTGAACATAGTCACATAGTCCTTTCTCTCTGGCTCTCTTGCTCTCCCTCTACTTCCTGGCTACCATGAGGTGAGCAACTTTCTTCCACCACACCATTTCTGCCTTTGAGCTGGCTGGCCATGCAGTTAAGCCTCTGAAACTGTGAACAGAGATAAATCTTTTCTCCTTTAGGTTAAATTTGTTAGGAATTTCATCCCAGCAACAGGTGACTAAGGTGACTCATACAATTTCCCCACCTGCCAACTGAAGTTACAGGATTTTGAACCATAAAGAGATGATGAATGTAAAAGATCTGCACCCAGAGAAGGTACTGGATGCATAGTGGCAGCATCTTCCATAGTTATGTTATCAGTTCTTGATGGGTTCCTGGTATTTGAGGTACACGATCTGGACTTAGGGTCAGTAGAATCAAGTCACCATGCTGAAAGTGGACTTCTTCTTTGCACCTCATTGACATGTAAAGAGTCAGGGTGGCTTACGCCTTTGAGCACACTGTGGAGCACAGCCTCCCTGACTCCCTCTTTCTGCTCTCCCCCAGGGCTGTCTTTGCGGCCAGGGCACAGGTCAGCTCTTGCCACTGCTCTTTCCAGGTGACCCTCTACTTCCTGTGGCTCTAGCTGCTCCTCTTCCATCAGCCACACCATTTACTGGAAAAAGGAATGCCAGGAGGGGTAGCAAAGGGCACTACCTCCCCAAAGTGGAGTCTTGTGGGGACATTTCATCCTTTATTTCTGCCAAGCTCCGCATACAACCTTGTCTAGCCGTCAAAGATCTAGGTGAGCAGAGCAGAGGTTACAAGCATTTCTGTCATTAGAATGCCAACAGTGTTATATCCAGCTAGATAGTAGAGACTGGACTAAAATCTAGCAAGGGCTGGTTCTCTTGCTAATGACTGACAAAGCTGCAGGCGGGCCTCAGCCTCACAGCCCCACCCTCCTTCCACAGCTGGACTGCTAAGTCTGCTCTTCGTAATGTTGCCATGTGGCTGTGCCTGGGGAGAGTGGTTCAGGGGACAAGGGCAGAGAAAGTGACAGGCAGCACATGTGTTTCTTCAAATGAAGACGCTCCTTCATCCCCCTGTAAACCATGCTGTTAGAGGATTTTACCAGGAGAAGGGAGAGTAGACAGTGCCCTGCTGTTGCTAGGTAACCTGAAAAAGAAAAATGCAAACCTAGTCATAGTTGGCATTGGCATGATTTTTCTCTAGAAGTCTGCCTGCTCTTGCTAAGTACTGTGTGCAGCCGTGAACACATTTGCACGATGCTGAGGCTAGGGGGCTCCTTCCTGCTTCAGCTCCTTTCTCCCCACCTCTTGCCCACACTGGGAAAGACCCAGACACATTATTTGAGCCTGGAGGTCAACTCTTGACGGCGACATTACAAGAGAAGTTGTTGTACAGATGCAAATGTGGTTTATTATGCAGAGCTGCTTTGTATGTTTGCAAAGGCTGGATCCATTTTAAAAATTAAGTGAGCCTCCCTTTCCCAGCTGGAGCACAGAGTTGACTGTCACGAATAGGAGCCTTTTTATTTACTTGAAACTTCCCAAGGAGGTGTTTGCAAAGGTGATTTTTAGCCACTGGAGACATTTGTGCATATAGTCAACATGTCTCAGCAGTACTGATAAAATCATGAGATAGCCCGACATGGTTCTTTCTCCCTGGGCTCAATCATTTTCTCTGTGGCTGACTGCAGGGCCCCCGCCTACCCTAGTCTCTGGGAAACAGTGCCATCTGCCTTGCAGGCTGCAGGCTGCCTCTCCTATAACCTGTGCTGTCTTTCTGTTGCAGATCTTGACACCTCCTGGGCAAAGTCTGCAGCCCTCCAGGACTCAGATCCATACTGCCCTCAGCTGCAGACGTTTATAGCAGAAGCAAAGCAAAATCTATCGACGCTGGTCTTGCAAGATGGGCAAGCTGATGATAGAGCAGAAGAAGATATTGTTTACCTCTAATTGTGTTGTCATTATTTTACCAAACAAACCCAGCTCTGGCACTTTTGGGAGAACCTTTCTTCCCCCTTCCTTCTGTGTGTGACCAAGCCCAAATTGCTTTAAGAATACTATTTACTTGGCCTGCATCTAATATTTAAATTATTGAAAACAGCTCTGTATAATCTTTAACTTATCATACCTACTTTCAGGTTTCTGGAGGGGAAACTAACTTGAATAAGCAGGAGTGCATTAAACGTTTCTTTGACTTTAGAGTAAAATTCCATATTGCATTTTATATGCGGTCACCTGGATTTGGAAATCAATGGCTTTTAAAATGGAGATGAAGCAATTTGGGTTTAAAGAGTGATCTTCACAAGGGATGACCTTTCACTGTCACGGCAGTTGGTTGTTGGTATCCAAAAAGGCACAGGCGGCTATGGGGAAGGCCTTTCCTCAGCTTGCTTCCCTGTGTCCATCTCTTTGGGCATCAGAGATAGAGATCTGTCACCATCACCATCCTGTCAGTATGTCCTGGTGGGCACCTCTTCTGGCCCTGTAGCCACCATCCCAGGAATACAGTCTGCAGGTGGTAAGGACTGGAGCTACGTGCTGAGACACACTGTCTTTGTCCTAACACTGGTGAGATCTCATGGCAGCGGTCACAGAATCCTTCAACCCAGAGCTCCCTGGAGACATTTGTGATATGAACAGTGAAACTCCTGAAAACCTCCACTTCCATCAGCCAGGCTGTCTCTGCTGCCCCCTGGACCACGAGCGACTATCACGCGCAAAGGAAGCCTTTCCTTTGTGACAGACACACTCCCAGTGAGCTTGCTGCTGGAGCGCCTTCCCCACAGAGGACACCTGGCTGGCCCTGCCTTTAAACCAGGAGATGTTTTCATTATGTTCTTAAGAAATATTTGTATATGTTTTGGTCAGTGTCAATAAATACCTTTTACGTCATTATTTTACTCTGAAGTCTTAATATTCAGAATAGGACCATAGTAAAACACACCTTTTACTCACACATAAATCTCTCCTTAGAAGTGAACATAAAGGAAGGTTTTTCAGTTCACCCAGAAATTACAGCAGTTACCAGAAGGTATTATGGAAAGGGAAAAAGAATTCACTCAGATCCCAATTTTGTTTTTGCTACTTGAAGTTATAAGTTGTATATCTACATTGTATTTTCACTTGTACAAGTTAAATCTTAAAGTTTTAAAGAAGAGATTTTGGGGGGCACTCTTGATGCCTCTGTTTATTTTTGACATAATTATAGGAAAAAGTTCAGTAATTAACCTTTTTTTCAGGATGGGTATTGCTTTTAAAAATTCTAATAATCACTTTACCTCCAAGCTAAACTCCTAAATTATAAAATGCATCTCCCATTCCTAAACACCTAGAAAGAAAAAAAATCCATGTTCTTTCTAGCTCTGATAAAGTCTATTTCAGAATCCTGTGTCTCTTGAATAAAAATCACATAGCTATTTTAGTCTCAATCCTTGTTCAGATAAGTTCAAATATCTTTCCTTTTCTCATGACAATGGATATGAAAACAGTGAAAATACGTAAAGATATTCAAAACCCATGGGTTATTTAAAAATAGCTGTCTCAGTCAGTTTTCAAGCCCTGCAAAAACAGTCTTCATGCAGTCCCCTTGGGAAGGCCTCAGTATTTTTAAGTAGCTATACTGTCCTATTAGATGTGATTTTTCCACTGCATGTAACTAAATTTCAAAGCTTTCTTGATAATTTCTTTTTACCTCATTCTCATTAGGTAATAAGAGCAGATCCTGCTCTGGTCAGAGCATTTGTGTCCCCTGAAATTCATATGTTGCAGATATAATCATCACCAAGGATGGACACCAGGAAGTGGGGCCTTTGAGAGGCCATTGGGGCATGGGGGTGAGGGTGGGGGTTTTCACCAATGGATTTAATATGCATGTGAAGCCATAGGAGAGCTCCCTCACCCTTCTCTGTGTGGAGGACTCAGGAGGAAGAACCCCCCTTTTATGACCCAGGAAGTTGGGCTCACCAGATACAAAGTGTGCCAGCACCTTTCTCGTGGACTTCCTGGCCTCCAGCACTGTGAGAAGTAAGTTTCTGTTCTTTCTAAACCACTTTGTTTATGGTATTTTGTTACAGTAGCCTGAACAGACTAAAATCTCAAGCTAGACTCACTCTGTGGATCCCACACAAACTCATTAATCTTATGAGAAGACCACCCTATTTGCTAGGTTCATAACTAGCTTTCCCTAGAAGGACCTACTTTACCCACCAAGCTAAGAATTTATGAGAAATTTGTTGACCGGGCCCTAAAGGTATCCCTTTGGAGGAGGCCTGAAGTGGAAAGTGTATTTTCTCAGTTCTGTCCAGGCTGCACAAATGTATGTGCCACTTCACTGTGACTCCAAGTCCCTCTGCACTGCCTCAGATCTGCCTGATTGCTGGAATCAGGCAACGCTGTCCAACACACCCACCCTGCTTATTCAGAAAAGTAGAAAAACACTACTGAGGAGTGTGTGTGTCTAGAACTATGTGCACACTTGCATAAGCACATTATGCGGGGTAAAGAAAGTAGCATCACTGAATCATGGGACAACACAAACAAGTAAAACTGGAATATATAGATTCTTTTCTGTGCCCTTTAAACTCAGAAAAGTAACCCAAGTTTATTGAAGTTTGGCCCCTCTTTGTCTTTCTCGGTGAGAGGCGGCAGAGCGTGGTACTTAACAAAAGGGAATCTGGAGCCAGCTCTGCCTCTCACTGGCTGTATGTCCTTGGTATGTTACTTCACTGCTCTGTTTCCTCATCTATAAAAACAGAGATAATTGCCTTATGGAATTGTTATGAAGATTAAATGATTCTAAGTGTAATTAGAATGGAGCCTGGGGCATAGTAATCAGTATATGCTAGCTATTATTATTATATCATTTAAAAATCTATTAATAAGAACTCAGTCTGATCTCAGTCCCTAGGCACATTGCTCCTGCCCCGCCAGAAACAGTGAAGGAAGCATGTGAGTGCACGCACACGGATGGTCAGAGATTGGAGTGAGGTTTCATGAGGTTAACTCGCAACTCATGCATCTCAAAACCTCCTCCTAATTCCTGTGTTCCATCATTGACTGTCTGCTAAAGGCCAAGCAATATGTGGGGGAGAAAATAAACATGAACTAGGTTGCAAGCTATTGGAGAACAGGAAGAGACAGTCCAATCAGAGAGAGGTACAATGATACGGGGAAGCGCAGGTTGCTATGTAAACACACAGGAAGGACATTTTGGGGCCAGATGTGAAGTGGAGGGAGTCATCCTGCAGCAGGAGATGCCTGTGGCTTGAAGGGTGCATAGAAGGGATGTGGAGAACATGTTGCCAACAAGAGAGGAGTGGAGACTTCACGCTAGTGAAGTCTGGAGGTGTGAAGCAAGGGCAGGCGGGATGCTGCGGCTGACATCTGGACTACCAGGTCGAGCTCCTTCCCTCTAGATTAAGGGGTCTTGTGAGAGCACCATCGTATTTCTGCCTCGCTCAAGCACTCTCATACAAGTATTAGGGAAACGTGGATGTCCTCCCCCACCTCCGTGGGTAATTGATCAGGTTCCACATGAAGCCCACCTCTAGGGTATGGAGGACTATTTACTTCCACACTGTGATGTTACTCTCTCAAAGCGAGAGCAGATACCTCTCACCCATAATCTTTCTATACCCCCTCTACCATAGTATAATAGTGGTTCCGGCCAAAAGGCCAATTGAATGTCTGTGTACTTGGTTCTAACCCCCAGAACCAAGAATCTAGAGTAAAGAGATCAGTTTAAAATTCCTGTTAGAGCTGAGGGGCCTGGAATAGCGCTTAAGGGTGCTGTTGTGGGATAAACTGAGGACTTGTCTGATAACCCAGATGGTGAGATGGTAAGTAGAGAAGGAAAAGGAGAAAGAACAGGCTTGCTCTGCTCTTCTGTTTACTTTTCTTTATTGTTGCCCCCAGCAATTCATTTCAGTCTATCATTTTGAGGTGTATGGAGAATGGAAAATTACAAAAAGGAGGGGGCATATAGAAGATTCCAGAATAATCTTATGCTTGGTATGAAGAGTTTACAGTGTTCTTTCCCAACTGTCTCTCATGCACCAATGTCCCTTTATCAGTGTAAGAGGGGTGGTGAAAAGACTTGGGCAAGCTGCACAGCCCTGGGCTCTGCTTGCTGGAACATTCCCAGGGCACTGTTGAAGCGGCACATTGTGCTGCAGAGGACTCATGCGCCAGACTCCATGGGAGAGGAGCCTCCTATATCAGACAAGCAACTGCGTGGGAGCTAAGTTTGCTCCTCTATGGCATGGGGATGATGACACAAGCCATGCCTATGGAGCTGTTGTGGGAACAGTATGAGTGAAGCCTAGGATGGTAAATGGTACTCAGTTAACACTCTTAAAAATGACTTATGCTTGTGATAGGGCTAAGGCAAAGACAAACCCAGGTGTCCTTCAGAACCAAAATAACCAGGGCATTTTCCTGTATTTTGAGAGACTTCTAAGATGAAGCCGGCCATGATGCAGGGCTGAGTTAGTGTTCCATACTGTGTACTGGGTGAAGGGTGAACGGATGAATAAGAGTCCTTGGAAATCTGTGATGAAAGAGTCAGAAGTAGAGCTAGAACCCTGACCCACTGCATTTCTTTGCCTTTGGCTGGAAAGTTCAAAGCAGTTTCTTCAAGTTGATGACTGAACATGTTTTGGGTGCAGCAACTTGAAGGAGGGATCATGGTTCAGTAGTTCTGTAGAAGTTTTATGGCTGAGAAACCTCAACATACCATGAATTGAATCTTAGTTGTCTGCCTACCAATAAAACTCTGAGAAACAGAAAGTTGGGAATTTTAGCTACTACCTGATGGAGACCACTATGAAGCAGCCCTGAGTAGGACTTAAATTAACCAATTGGCTTTTTATGCTTACTTGTGAATCTGTCCAAAGCCTAGGCCACTTGTCTGGAAGTGGGTGATGAACTCATGGTAAGTGAAATGTGAGACATTATTCCCTACTAAAACCTGTAATGGCAGATGAAGCTGGAAAACTCCAAAGGATAAGACAAGATCACAGTCAAAGACACCTGGATCTGGTGTCTGGATCTGGATCTCAACTAGATAAAGACTATAGGCTCAGACATCTCACTCTTGGGTGGATTAACTTAATCCTTATTAAGGATTAATTTAATACTTCACTTGGAGAAATCCTTGAGTGATTCCGCCGTTCTTGAGTATTCCCCTCTCTTCCACTGATAACCAAATAAATATGGGCCACCAGAGAGGGTCTTGGTCTTGACCCTAAGAGAATCTCAAATTCTGTGAGAGGGCTTTGATCCTCCCAGAGCCCTGAAATCATTCCATTTGCCTTTTTTTATTTAGCATTTGCCATACACTTGTTTGGGAGATTGCAGACCCACTCAGTCTGCCATAACTAAGGGATATCATTAACCTAAGAGCTACCCACAGCCAAGAGTTTCAGAACAATTACCCAAGGACAAAGGGTAAACTTGGTGAGGAAACAAAATTATCTTTTCCTTGCTAATTTAACAAGATTCTCTAGTTATATCAAAGATCTGTCCCTTGTCCTACTAAGTGCTCCCAACTCTTCCTTGCCAGTGAGTCTCTTCTGTTCAAAGGCCTGGTGACCCTACAAGGTCCACACTCAGCTTGGTTCTGTCCCCAGCCAATGCAAGGATCAGTTGTCTGCAGAGATTCAGAAGGTTTCAGTCCTCAGGGAAAGTTTTGGAAATTTCTTTTTGTTCAGAGCCCAGTGGAGTGAGTGTCTCCATTTTATTTCATAAAAGGAATCTGATTTGTTTGCTAAACTGCATTTTTACGTACCCAAGAGTTTAATCCAAGTTCTTTAGTTTCCTCTGCTAGGCTGGGTTGGGGTTGTTCGGCAGTTCCTACAAGGAAGCAGTGAGGAGGGGACAGGGCTAGAGTTCCTGGT